CAGTGCACTTAAAACATCGGGAAAAAGAATTTCGCCACTTCCAAGCACGTCGTTCGTAGCGAGGTAATTGTTGGCAATTTCTTTATAAGTATATAGCTGTATATATGGATGAAGTTGTATGGAGGCTATAATGCTCGTTGCATAACCGGGCTGTCCGTTAAGTTCCATAACAAGCACATATAAAGGTGGATTTAGCTTTTGCTGAGTTAGTCACGAAGCTTTGCATGATTTCTCTGTGCCTTGACAAAGCTTTGTTGGGTTTTTGCGTGTGCGTTAATTGTCAAAGCATTCGCTTTGTAAGCTGACGTGTGTATTTCTAACCTGTAGTTCTGAAGGCGCGCGCACGCGTGTGTGTATGTGTGTGTGCGTGCTGGAGCTAGTTTGTGTACCCGTACGTACGTGTGCGCCTGCGTGTGCGTGCGTTTGAGTGTGCACGTGTGCGCCTGCGTTTGCCGTCAGTGTTTGAGCCGGTGTGTGTGCGTGTGCGAGGCTTTGTGTGTGTTTAAGTCAGTCCTTGTGCGCTCTCACATATGTCTGCGTATGTGTATGCCTGCGAGTGCGTTCGTTTGTGTATGTCTGAATTCGAGCGTGCGTATGTGTGTGTGTGTGTGTGTGCGTGCGTGTGTGTGCGTGTGTGTGTATGTGTGTGTGTGTGTGTGAGCGCCTGCGTGCCCTTGTGCATTCTTTCGCATGCTATCTTGCACGTGAGCGTGCACACATATTTGTGGGGTGTATGTATACGTCAGCGCATGCATGCGTTGGTGTATGTCTACACTCTGTATATAAGGTGCCATATCATTATGAGCTTTTTGATGTGCAGACATCTTCTTTTTGGGGCCAAACTTCTTAGGCCATGTGTCGTTCCCTTCCTCGTACGTATGCATGTAGCCACCTCCAGTTTTTGACTTGCTCAATAGACGACGTTGTGTGTATATGTCCTTGGGAATATTATAACCAAACAAAGCATATCCACGGAGTGAATGATGATGAGTGTGCGAAGCATTCGTCTGTCCATCTGTTTGCCCATTCGTCCGTGCGTACGTCCATGCTTCCCTCCGTCCGTGCCTCTGTTCGTCCATACGAATGGAGTGACACACGGACGAACGTTTCGCCCCTCTCATCATTATTCACTCCGTGGACTCGTTGCGATTTTTTTCTTCTTTTTAGGAGAATGAGGTAAGTCGCAGATGTAGTAGAATACAATATGTCGTCGTTTCATTGGGATGGAATATAGGCACACGCATTAATCCACTTGGGCTTCATGTGAAATTTTCATGTGGTGTTGAAAGTAAACATTTGACAGAAGTCTGTCTGGTTGGGTGATGAACTGGGAGAGAATTTAGACTCCAACCAAAAGTTTTGAAGACACCAGACGTTTTGGAACCAACTTGGTTTCTTCCTCAGGGGTGACTGCGGAGGCTACTAGCAGCGTCGTGTTCAGGGGTGGCTGCGGAGTCTACTAGCAGCGTCGTCTTCAAAGCACACGCGGGGTGGCTAATGACCTTTCTCTCTTTCTCGTTTTGCCGTGGAGTGCAGTCCGTGTGAATAAACGGGGTGATGGGTTCCTAGAGAGCGATTGATACTATGGGCTGTGAGGAAGGAACCAAGTCTGTTCCGAAACGTCGGGTTTTTTGAAAACTTTTGGTTGGAGTCTGAATCATCTCATGTGGTGTTACACGACATGAATTTTCCGCGTTGGTTTCATTACACAAAGGCGTCGGGTTCACCGTTGAATTCATTAGGTAAATCGCCACATTCTTTCTAGGCTACATTCTTTGAACTCGGAAAGATCACAATAAATGATAAAAATTCGATGTAAACCTTATGCGCTTCTATTATAGCGCTTATCAAGCTTCCGGGTTACAAACAGCAAAAGCCTAGATGGCGTAAACTGTGCAACTGATAGTTGGTACTCATTTTTTATATACTGTACTCCCTAGCTTTCTCAAAAGTAATCCACAAAGATTTTGAAAACACTTTCACCGAAGAAACACGCTCACCACTCAACTATCGTCACTTGAAAAATTGGATAAAGCCAACAGATATAACACGTTCTTTCATTCAGTTTTTACAAGAGATAATGGCGCCATGCTGGAATCACTTCCACGCGTGGTGTCTGTGATGAAACCTCTCGTTATCACAGGTACTGGTGTTCTTAATCTTCTGCTTGCTCTAGATACTAAGAAAGCGTGTGGTCCTGATAATATACCTAACACTTTCTGAAAAGGTACGCAGAATGGTGTAGCAGATATCTCGGCAGTAATTTCCGTAAATCACTTTCAACATCAAGACTACCAGGAGATATGAAAATAGCTAAAATTATTCCAATTTATAAATCTGGAGATAAATCCATTGAATCCAATTTCAGACCGATAACTTTAACGAGCATGGTATGCAAACTATTCGAGCATATAGTCCTACAACATTTAACAATTTTTTTCGAAAAAGACGACATCCTGTCCCCCAACCAGCATGGACTCGTAGGGTTTTATTGACCATGACGCAGCTGACTGAGGTCACACACGATCTTGCGCTAGGTATTGACAAACACAGCAAAACGGACATAATCTTACTTGACTTTTCAAAAGCGTTTGATAGCGTTTGTCACACCATGCTAATCGCTAAACTACAAAACATTATCGGGAACGAAGAAAGTGTTGCTTTGGTGCGTGAGCTTTTGTCTAATAGGTCTCAGTTTGTTGTCAAAAACATTGCATAAAATATTGTACCGTTTACGTCAGGAGTGTCCCAGCGTTCCCTGCTCGGGCCCTTGTTATTTCTTGTGTATATTAATGACATATCTACTAATAGAGGCTGTAAAATAAAGTTATTCGCAGATGACTGTATCCTTCATAGAGAAATTAGAAATGACCAAGATCACTATTCGCACAACAAATCACTCTTTGATATTTCTCAATGGTGTTCAAAGTGGGAGATGACAATTAATGTAAAAAAAAATGAGCTTGCATGACGATAACGAGGAAAAGAGAGACATCAAACTTTTGCTACACTCTAAATCGCACTGCTCTGAGCAGAGTACACAAACATAAAAACCTAGGCTTAACTATTACGTCCAACTTAAGGTGGGACGAGCACATTAGAAACATTACTTCATCTGCCATGCAAAAATAATTTTTTCTTCACAGATCACTTCAAATGGCAACTTTGCCAACAAAGCTCCCAGCTACAAAACATTCGTCAGGCCTATCCTCAAATACGGAAGTACAGTGTGGTTTCCTCACACCCGCAAAAGCATAAAGAAAATTGAAGCAGTACAGATGACAGCCATAAGATTCATCCACAACAAATATAAACGTGAACCCTCACCCACTCGTCTGCTAACTCTTTCTGAACTTCCTACGCTAGAAGTACGAGCAAAACAGGCTGGTCTAAAATTTCTTTATCAACTCCTGCACAATTATTTTGAAATTAACATTTCAAATTACGCGTCCTATTCACAAACACGAGCCACAACACACAAACATACACAACCATTAGTACAAGACAAATGCAACACTGATTAGTTCAAATATTCTTTTTTCCGGTTGCTATTTGCGACAGGAACATGTTGGCCACTCACATCACCAACCCTAACCCACGTATTCTAGAACGTCCCTTCACTCAGCGCTTCACCTTCACTTGACAAAGCCGATGAAAGTGCCCTTGCTAGGCCAGGCAAGTCACTGCATATCAGCGATAATGTGGTGCGATTCTCGAGCAGCTCAGCGTCATTTTCAGCCGAGCAGTGCTGCAGTGCTCAACTTTGTCAAGTGAAGGGTTAAAGTCGAGTCGAGGAGCATTTGTGAATACGGGCGTGAGTCACTGTCGCAGTTTGAGTTAGAAGTTGAAAACAATTCTTAGCTTCTTTAAATACCCAGTGACAATGGTAATGAAACCAGTATGTACTACTTGTATGTTCTGTAAACAACCATGTAAGCGGCCTTATTGTTAAACTTGCTATTTGTGTATGCACTTGTATTTTGTTTATTATGTTGTGTAAATATTGCTAATGTACAAAGTGCCAGGTTGATGTTGCTTTTATGTTCTGTATTACAGCTTTTTTTACTATGGTGAGCAATCATGGCATCTGTACAAAGTGCACACTTGGTATGGTATCAGTAGAGACTGGCAGTATTGCAAATAAATAAATAAATAAATAAATAAGTAAATAAATAAATAAATAAATATATAACATAACTTTTAATAAGTGCTTCTGCTTGTATTTATTGAAGCGCACCAAAAATATATCAGCCACTGTGTTCTACAAGAATCCTGCTTTAGTTCAAGTTGTATTTTCAAGTGACAGAACCTCGCATAATTCGTGAAGGAGCGGAATAAACAAGCACGCGCATTGATTCTAATGCAGCTACAAGGAGCAAGTTGAGGGTTCATGGCTGCGCCGGCCAGGAGAGGGTAGAAATCCGAAGTGAATCGAGGAGGATAACGTGCGCGCGGAGAAGAGTGTCGCTCCTTTCAAAATTTAAGGGCTTTATCGCAAGCAAATCACAGCCCCGTATCAATATCGTTGATGTGAAACGGCCGCTTATAGCGTTTGAGTAGCCACCAGCGGCGATATGAATTCACTTCAACGCACACAGTCACACCTAACTACCCATCAAGCTACGTAGCCGCTGACATACCGGCTGTGACGTAACCTGCAGAACGGGATGCAGAGGTAATGCTCGTATTATATCTAGGTGCTGTTGGGTGAATATTTTGATTCGCCTATTTTACCCATTTTCTTTTTCGTGCGGTTTTTTTCCCTGCGTTATCGTTGCAAGCGGCTGATGGCATGCAATCAGCTGCCGTTTCACACCAAGCCAGCAAAGGCAGCGAAGTGGGGTGCCAGCAGTCAGTGGAAGAGCGGCCATTTTTCCCCCTCGGTTTCGGCAGTGCCATCCGCGTGTATCACGCTATCTCGGTTTCGGGGCTATCGCCACGCGCTACTTTCTTCCAGCTCATATTGCTCATGATAGTACGCTAGTACTTTATGTTTATTCGCGTTTGCTTCAGGGGCCGGTGATAGTGGAACTCAGTGATCGAGCCGGCGTCGTTGCATAAAGGTCCCACGAGCCGCTGTCGACCCACGCATATTGCCGCCGAGGAAACTTGTAAGTTCTGCTCCCAGATTTTTTTAAAGCATGAAATCGTAGTAAGCATGTCAATGTCGAAGACTGATTTTACAATTCTGTGTGCGATTGATTTGATTAATTTGTGGGGTTTAACGTCCCAAAATCACCATATGCTTATGAGAGACGCCGTAGTGGAGGGCTCCGGAAATTTTGACCACCTGGGGTTCTTTAACGTGCACCCAAATCTGAGCACACGGGCCTACAACATTTCCGCCTCCATCGGAAATGCAGCCGCCACAGCCGAGATTTGATCCCGATTCTGTGTGCGAAAATTCGAAGCTGTAATGTTGCACCTATTGCTTCACATCCCATAGAGAGAGATGTGCCGCACGTTCAAGAGTAACCAACGGCCACTGACACGGTACATAAACGGCACTTTATACTACTGAACACTTCGGATAAATCAAATGGTTTATTCGTGAAGCTTCTATTGCGATAGCAATCATAAGGACACTCGGACACTCTCGGCTGGATTTTGCCGCTGGCGTCAATGTCATGCACCGTATATATATATATATATATATATATATATATATATATATAGTGGGAGTAATAATTCAATGGGCCAGTTAGTCTTCGTGAAGGTATGGGATATGGCAAAACGGGAGCGTTGTCAACAAGGATAAATATATTTATTTCCCAGCAGTTTCGGGAGGGGTCCTCCCTTCATTAGGGGATGAGTTATCCCCTAATCCTGATGTCATCCCCTGATGAAGTGAGGACCCCTCCCGAAACTGTTGGGAAATGAATATATTTATCCTTGTTGACAACGCTCCCGTTGTGCCATATCCCATACCTTCACTATATATATATATATATATATATATATATATATATATATATATATATATATATATATATATATATATATATATATATATATATATATACGCAGAAAGAAGGCACGCGGAATAGAACGTGGGCCCCCTGCGTCATGAAAGCGAGGCGTTAGCCACTCAGCCACCCCACAGTGCGTTCTACACCGTTCAAACGGCAAGCTATTTATATCTACCACATACCACTGCTGTGTTTTCAGCATTACCAGAAAGATGGGGCAATGAGCGCACGTCACCACATCGCGCCGCGGCGCCCATTCCAATCTCCTACGCGTACTTTGCCCGGCTTAGAGAAGGGGAGCGACGCCCCGTCGCGCGCCCTTATCTCACGGTGACGAGGAGGGGAGGATCGCACACCTTGGCTGGCCTCGAGCTTTAGGTTGAACAATTCTGCTGTAGTTACCGGGCGCACAAAAATTACTGCAATCATTGCAGTCTCCGTTCGCGAAAAGCGCGTGCTTTTCAGACTCCGCGAAGCAACAAATGAGACGCTTATTCTCGTGCATCCGTACCTGTGAATACGTTTCGGGCGTAATTTGTGCGTGAGAAACGCGGGGCACGATTAGATCTGCTTTTCATTCTGCGCGTGACCTTTTGAGTTGTTGCTACCGCGTTCATTGCTTCGCCTTTGAGGCAAAGCTGTGCCTTCTTTTCCTATAAAGACATATCTTCCAGAAACTTGTGAGTTTTTATGATATTTTTTCATTTGCGTCATTTCATTGAAAAATCATATTTTGCAAAGACAGACATGTGCGGGTAAAATTCGGTGACGGGACGTGAGAATGCTGCGCTGTTGAAAGGTTGACTGAGTCGCGGCGCTGCTGTGTTATCACGCGTAGTTTGTTTGATAACCACTGCAAATATCTCGCGTGCGTTTCTGACGCCACGGGCTATTGAATAGTCTTGGAAAAAAAAGATGATATAATCACTAAGTACTAGCCCGTTATTTGTCACAGAATCCACTAACCAGCTAGTAAATGCAGCTAGTAAAAATAACCCTAGCGAAAGGCACTACCTCGTTGGGCTCGTAACGAATACTAGCCCAAATACTAGATGGCTGGGTAAAAGCACTGCGTCGTTGTGTAGATAAAATTACTTCCTAGTTAGTAAGCGAATAGTGCTGACTCGAGTGGTTATATCATTAATAAATTGTTAGTAACCCCCCGCAAATAGAGGTTTACGCCTACTTTGTTAAACGTTTGTGTGCATGGCCGTATCAGACTCTATTAGAAAAGTAAAGGTAAAAACGAATTGACATGGCCCTTGTAAATTATTATTGCTCTTAATTACGCCTTCTAACTTTACTGGGGCAAGTGTGCAGCAAAGCAACATACTTATAGGGAACTGACGACATAATCACATGATCAAATCACATTCACATATGTATGATCATATATATGTATGAGCAAAAAGAAATCATATAGTAAATAAAGGCACTATAGTTCTAATCGGAGAAAAACAGCATGCAAGGCATTTGTGGAGCTTTGTTCGCATAGAAGAACTTATCGTTGGGCGGGACGACATCTTCAGTACTTGCTCTCTACGCTCGCCCGACGGCACTATGGTGAAGCGTCCTGTGCAGCTACTGTGCCCATTGGAAGCCACCTAGCATCATATATCGGCGCGGGAGACTGTTGTGACTTCCTTTTTTTCATCCCTCGCAGCAGAAGAGTAGCCATAATAATAATTGAGCCTCCTCACGAACTGACGCGTGGCCTCGGGGCAACGCCGTCTTATCCTGTTCTTTTTCTTTTTTCTTCAGTTCCATTAAAGCCTTTCGTCTTCCAAGACGTGTTCTTTGCTCGGTGTGAGCCGTATCACAGCAGTAAGACAGAGGTCCAACATTTAGCCTTATGGCACCCATTCGCCCCACATTGTTCAATGTTGCCCTCATTGGTCTGTTGAAGGTTCTGCCAAAGTCGGTGTGCCTATCCATATACGCCGATGATATTTGCCTCTGGAGTGCTGCAGTTACTCGCCCTCAGGTGCGTGCACGAAAACAGCGGGCAGCAACCCTCACAACAGCTTACCTTCAGAAACAAGGCCTAACTATATCAGCTGTGAAGTGCGCGTTGATGGCGTTTACACGCAAACCAATGACGCCATACCCTCTTTACATCAATGGGCAGAGTGTCAAATATGCACGGATGCATCATTTCCTGGGCACAATAATCGACAGAAGTCTTTCATGGAGCCCGCATTGTGCGTACTTGAAGAAGAGACTGCTATCTATTGTGCATATAATGAAATTCCTGTGCGTGAAAGCATGGGTAACTTCTGTGGCCTCCATGCTACAGCTGTACAGGGCCCTATTTCTGGGTCTATTGCGCTACAGCTTGCCGGTACTGACTAACACTTGCAAATCCAATACTAATTCATTGGAGAGTTTGCAGGGTCAGGCTCTGGGTATCTGCCTAGGACTGCTCCGATGCGCTTCTACTTATGCCACAATCATGCATGCCAAAGACCATCCGGTCAAGACATATACTATGAGTTGTGGATTGCCTCAGAGCGCACATTCGACATGCTAGCCGTGTCCCCGACCACCACTTGGCCCTTCTACCCTCCGGAAGACCACGTGCTACGTTTTCAGATGTCATAGCCAAGCACCTAAACAGCATTCCATCAGGATATACGCCAGCTGCGAGAACGGCATGTCCTTTGTGGTGCCTCGACCAGCCGCAAGTACGTCTGGAAATTCCGGGTATCAAAAAGAAAAGCTATCACTCCAGAGTAGCATTGAAGCAAGCAACACTGCTCTTATTATTACATGAGTTGTACTTGGACCGAACACAGATATACACTGATCGGTCCTTCTCGTCCAGCAGCTCATCAGGTGCCGCTGTAATTCCGGCTGCAGCAACAACAATCAAGTTTAAGTTGTCGCATATGACTACATTTACGGCATCAGAGCTTGCTGCTATAAGGGCTGGTTTACAATATCTCGTTCAAGAACGTCCAGGAAAATGGGTCATATTCTGTGATTCGAAGGCAGCACTTCAGAGTTTGCAGTCTGCCATGCGTAGGAGGAGTCATGAACAATCAGTACAAGAAATAAGACATTGCCATCATGAAGCTCTAGCACGAGGCCATGATATTATATATCAATGGCTGCCTGGACATATCGGTATTACCGGAAATCAATTAGCCGATGATACAGCCCGCTCAGCACATGAAGGAACTTTACTATTCCTTATTTATATTAACAATTTACCTGATGTTGTAACTTTTTCGATTCACCTTTTCGCCGATGACTGCGTTGTTTACCGAGAAATTTCATCTAACTCTGACGCTAGTTGTTTGCAAAGTGACATTAATATTATTGCCAGCTGGTGTAGAACTTGGCACATGGACCTCAACACTAACAACTGTAAAGTTTTACGTATCTCACGAACTACCGGACACCCTGTTAACTACATCTTAAATGACGTTGATCTAGAGTTTGTAACTTCGTATAAATACTTGGGGATTCATATAACATCTGACTTGAACTGGAATCATCATATTACCTATGTTATTAACAATAGCAACCGTATGCTAGGGTACCAACGACGCAACTTTAGCCGTGCCCCTCAAGCCGTGAAACTAACCATGTATAAAACACTAGTTCGTCCAAAACTTGAATAGGCATGCTTCATTTGGGATCATTTTCAACTGAACTTGACTCACTCGCTTGAAATGGTACAGAATAACGCAGCACGCTTCATTCTATCTAACTACCCTCGCACTAGCGGTATTACGTCAACACAGTTTTTCACTACAGTCACTTGAATCACGTCGCAAAGCATCTCGTCTAATACTTTTTCACAAGATATTCAATCATCCACTTTTGAAAGCTCAGTTCATTACCACTCCTGCCTATTACTCAGCTCGTTTAGATCATCAACATAAGGTACACGTCATTAGCTGCCGCACTAACACTTTTCATCATTCCTTCGTCCCACGCACATCCAACGACTGGAACCACCTTCCCTCAGACATGGTTTCCATTTCAAGTCACGACTTGTTTTCATCTACAGTACAGAATTACTTACGTGATGCCACGTGAAGTGTATATTGTACATATATATTTTTGTACTCTGTTTGCCCCATTCTGATGATACTTACACGTACATTCATTGTACTGCCTAACATCGAATTTTT